GATATACTTATACACCCCACTTGTGCCACCGTGTAGGGCGCATGAGGGAGGGGAAGATAGGATGATTGGATCCCCATCTTTCCTGTTTGTAACTTCTAGATTAGTGCGAGATAAGTAGGCTGACTTGGGTGATGTAGCGATACCCTCGATGAGTGTAATCGACTTCGAATATATCTAGGGTCAGGTAAGATCCGGACGGCATTTCTTGGGTAGAGGATAATCGAAAACGAAAAGGGTGAGGGCCTGACGCTAAAGATGGGCGCCGACATCGAGATTCTTTAGATGATGTCACGTGCCAAGATCGCGGCTTCTAAACGGGCCACCCTAGCATTCCCGATGGCCGCAACCCAAAATAACCCCCCCACAACTCGACTCCTTTACCGCCCACCCGCAGCATTCCTACCCAGCCTTCACCATGGCGGCGCTCGCGACCAAGACGCAGTCGCATACCATTTTTACCAAACTCAAGGCGAAGCCAGCCAACAAGGTACGTCTCGTCAATAGAGAAATGCCGTGGACGAAGCTTAAGGGGACACTGTAGATCTGCTTCGACTGCGGCGCAAAGAACCCAACATGGAGCTCAGTACCCTTCGGTATATACTTGTGCCTCGACTGCTCCTCGAACCACCGTAACATGGGCGTCCACATCTCCTTCGTACGGTCGACGAACCTTGACAGTACGTTCACCCCGCCGCCTCGAAGGTGATATATACAACAAGAGCACATGTTGATAGAGGACAGTCTGGCAGTGGGACCAATTACGGATCATGAAGGTCGGCGGCAACGAGAGCGCGACCAAGTACTTCCAGTCGCACGGAGGCACTGCTGCGCTTGCGAGCAAGGACCACAAAGCCAAGTACACCAGCAACGCGGCTACTAAGTACAAGGAGGAATTGACGAAGCGCTGCGCTGCGGACGCTAGGCAGTGAGTTCGGCTGCATCGAACTAGGCATGGACCTACGCTAATCCGACTGTTCTCAAGGTACCCCGAAGAGGTCGTCATCACAGACGCGCCCGACGTGACTGGCAGCGACGGCAACACACCAGCCGGCGAAGAGGACGACTTCTTCTCTTCATGGGACAAGCCCACGATCAAGCGGCCCTCGAACCCCCCATCCCGCACCGGCACACCACGAGTTGGATCGCCCTTCCTCAAGCCAGGCGCCAACGGCAACGGAGCCGATCGCCCCAAGTCGCCGCTTGTTGGAAGTTCCGACGCTAGCACTCCTGCCGCCGCGAAGCCTGCTGCAGCACGAAAGACCACTGGAGGCGCTGCGCCCAAGAAGAATATTTTAGGGGCGAAGAAGAAGGGTCTTGGAGCAAAGAAGGTGGTCGCTGCAGACGGGCTGGACTTTGAGGAGGCAGAGCGGAAAGCCCGCGAAGAAGCTGAGCGCATCGAGAAGTTAGGCTACGATCCCGACGCCGAAGCCGCGGAGGCTGCCGCAGCCACAAAGTCGAAAGCCCCCGAAGCGTCGACTCTCGTTTCACCCACTCCAGTGTCGCCCCCACGGGGTGGCTTCGGTTCAACGACCAAGACCGAGCGCTCAGGTCAGGATATGGAGGGCCTAGGACTGGGCGTGCAACGTCTTGGTTTTGGGCAAGTAGGCGCTGCGAAGAAGCCAGCAGCACAACAGAAGAAGACGGGGGGTTTCGGGAGTGTTGGCAGGCCTGCTCAAGACGACGGCGAGAAATATGCGCGAGAGAAGTTTGGCACACAGAAGGGCATTTCGAGCGACGAGTTCTTTGGCCGAAATAACTTCGATCCTTCGGCTAATGCGCAGGCCAAAGAGAGACTGTCAGGTATGCACAAGCCTTTAACCTACTGGATCTCGTATTAGATTACTAAAAACATCACCAGGCTTCGAAGGCGCAACATCCATCTCCTCAAACGCCTATTTCGGCCGGCCTGAGGACGACATGGCGGAAGAAGATTACGGCGACCTCGAGACAGCCGCCAAGGACTTTGTCCGCAAATTCGGTCTCACAGCTGGCGACGATCTCGAGAACCTGTCCAACATGCTCGGCGAGGGGGCTACGAAACTGCAAGGCGCCGTGCGAAACTACCTAAACTCGTAGGGCGGACGACAGGTAGAGAGAAATCTCTAGATACGTGTACTCGAAGCTTGGAAACTCAGCCGTCTTTGGTATGGTACAGTGTTCGTCACAGTTCGAAATGGAGCACGGGCCCGGCGCATGGTGCATTGCAGGAGAGAAACACCGTTAGCGCGGAGTTTTGGGCACAAGTGTATTCTTTGCGCTGATGCTGGGCTTGTATGGCGTTAGGTGGATAGATGGACGAAGTAGTCAAGAACCTCTTTTACATTCTTAGTACTGCCTACTGGAACATAGTAGCGGACACAACAAGGGTGTACCTCCTTCATCTAGCGACGAACGACAGTCTTGCCTGGAGAGGTTCGCTGCGTTCTGTGAGCGATCTCTTGTTCCCTCACGCCTTGGTTCTGTTCGCTCGTAGATCTGTGATTTTCAGTTGATGTTTGTGAGGCCCGAATCACTTCGTAGGCAAAGGCACTGCCACCGCCACAGCGATGACGTACGTCTTCAAGAACTTCGTCACAAGAACAGGCAAGCAACGAAACAAGTCGCAACGAATCCAGTGCTTTCTTTTCCTATCACCTGGTGTGACGCAGCTGTAGCAAAAAACTTCGTCACTTACATTCGCACACGTAACTCTTATCATCCCCCAGGCAGCAGCTTTCAGACCATAGTTTGGGTCTTGAAGGCTACCACGCTTCTGGATCCTCACACGTTTCTACTCCGCGATTCTCTTTTCCTGCCCTTGAGCAGTCTCCTCCAAAGATTTCGCGAGGTCGCACCTTGTGATCTCCACATTTCGAAGGCCCTCGCCACCAACCACCACCTCAGCTATCCAAGATGGATATCCCACGCGGCCACGCAGCAATGCCGCTGACAGATTCGGACTTTATGGATTTCATATACAACTATTTCAAAGCCGAGTATGCACCCATTCGCTCTTTCTGGTCGACCGCCACAGCCTTCCCCAGCCAAACCCTTCGGTGGATAAATATGGGTCACGAGCTCTCCCCGCTCGCTGTACGGCCCGCAAATGCGCAGGCACAGAAAGATCTGGAGTCGCTCGACTATTTCACGCGAAAATGGAACCTAGATGCTGGCCTTGTGAGGGGCTTGGTGATCAGGTTCGCAAAGTACGAAGTGCACGAACGGCTGGAGAAGAAGTTGTACGAATGTGCAAGACTGGATCTGATGGTGCGCAAGGCGTTGAAGGAGAAACATGTCATCGATGCATTGTGGCCGAGTCCTGCGCCTAAGAATCTGGCGAAAGAATTGCTACAGCAGGGTGTTCAGGTGAGACAGTGGTATGGCGATATGTTTAACAAGTACTTCCGCGTCTTGCATTCCATCGATTCGTTCGAACTCCGACCGGAAGTGGACCAGAGGATCAAGGCTAGTGGGACACTGATGCTAGTTCCGTTTGTTGATCACCTTGTCTTCGGGACCGTGGAGCCCATCATGCCGATTGTCGCGAGGGGTGCTGGGTATTCGAATGCGAAGGGGTGGGACAAGAGGGAGAGGAGCACTCCTGGATTTGGAGAGCCTGGGAAGTTCGAAATCAAATTCGATGCTCCAGCGGAAGTCACGGATACATACACGAACAGTGTTGTACGCCAGTGTCAGTGCATGAAGTGCGGGACAAAGCGAGATGTGCAGGTTGTGGTTCATGTTGACCCGAATCCGAATGCCGGTGCGGGTGTGTCTTGGACAAGCAGACCGCGGGATATAGGGACATCAGCTCAGAAATGGCAGACTTCGAAGACTGCGCAAGAGCACAGCCCGGGATATCAGATGCTAGGCGAGCATAACGCAGCCCCTCGAAGACCGCCGCGACATCAACCAGAAGTAGCTCAAGAGCCCGAAGCCCCACGATCGGCGCCACCAGAGAGGAAGAAGCAGTGCCCTCGCTGTACGTTTTTGAACGACCCAAACCTCACTGCTTGTGAGATTTGCGAGGCCGATCTGCCCGGCACCACGATTGAGAAACCTCCCAGTCCCGTAGAGGTGAAGAAGTCATCTCACTCTCACTCGGCGTCGCTGCCACCTCCAGCCACTACTCCACACACACGACAAGAGGCCCTGAAAGCCGAGCAAAGACCCGGGGCACCAAATAGACACAGTCTCAGCGCCAGTCTGTTCTCTATTTTCCCATTCTCGCAACAGCAGCAGCAGGAACATCACGCCAAACTACCGCCGACACAGCAAATCGATACAGCGCCAGCAGTCCATTCAAAATTGCAGCACGAGACGAGACCAGAATTTCGGCCGTCTTCCAAGCAAGGCAAGAAACCTCAAGTCGAACAACCTGCGAAGCCACCCACGCCTCCTCAACCACAGCGCGAATCTACAGTACCAAACCTCATCAGTACCGAGCCAGAGACATCACTATCCCGCGCCCCACAGATGGCTATGATGCCCCTCACCCCGTCACCAATTTCATCCGCCAGCAAAAGGCCCGCGCCCGCTGGTCTGCCGAGCAACTTGATGGACGACTTCGTTCCCGGCTCGCCTACGTTTGCGAGGGAGGAAGAGGATGTTGATGCTGGTTGGGGCTCGATGAGTCGCGAGGAGGCCCGGGCGGATAATGATGAGGGCGATGAGGCAGAGGGGAGGAAGAGTGGGGGTTTCATTGACCTGGATGCTGTGGCAAGGGAGGAGGCTGATGTTTGGGGGGATAGGGACGACTGAGCAGTTACCTTATCTACTAGATGGGCGCTGCACAGACTCCAGTGCGATTCAAATAGCGCCGGTTTCAGAAATATTTTTTGGTTACTCTTTTTGCTGCCTTCTTACACTCCACTGTTTAGAAGAGGAGAGGAGTTAGAGAGTGTAGCCAAGCAGTTAAAACATGGCGTAGATGGGCCTAGAGTACTTCACACAGTTTAGGGTCAACGATATATCTCTCCCTGAAGACCAGATTGTGCTAATGGAAAAGCAAAAAAATTGTTTTCCGACACCGGGAATCGAACCCGGGCCTTGCCGGCACTACGCTGTAGTAGCTCTGCAATGAGAGCGGCAAATCCTAGCCACTAGACCATATCGGATTGATGGAAGACAGACAAATAATTGAAAATATATATTTGGTCATGAGTGAGCACAAGAATGGTGCCACCAGTTGGGAAAAGTGGGCTGTACGATTTAGTACCCCACTGTGAAAATCTGAACGACAACGAACCACAACCCTTTGATGCCAACTCTACCCCTACTGGAGGTTAGCTACGAAGACTCGAACCAATGCTCTCCGGACACAGTTAGGACGCGATTTGATTTTTCTAATGTCCTCCGTTCGCTAGCCTTGCTTGTATGCGTCGTCCAACCGCTGTCATGATTATAAAATGTGTGTACTGCCTCTAAGCACTTACAATGGAAATATTCAAGGGTTAAGAAGATACGAGGTTGTAATAAGTAGGCCTAAAGGATCGCTAATTTTCTTGTCTCGTTATACCCCTCTATGTTGTAAGTGACAGAGGGCAGCAAGCTTACGGCTGCGTAAGATGACCATTTGCTCTTTACAGCTCTCGAAGGGTTTGATCAACCCAATCACAGTTTTCTGCGGTCTTCCACTCTCGGATTTCAGTCCGTTGTTAGGGAGTCTCGTACTCCTCAACGCAGTCAGGTCGCATCAGATGCACTCGTATCACTCACTTACTCACGGGTCCAGAGCTTCATGAACCATACACAAGTACGATACAGCATACGAACCGCTACATACATAGCGTAATATTGCGCGTTTGGCAATAGGATTTGCATTTCTAGGGAGCAGTGCGAGGACTCTGCCGGTCCTTTATTTTACCACTGCAACAGCATATTCAAACTTAGATATTAGTAGCTCTATGGGCTCCAACACTCCCATCGACCCCCAGTACTGCATCCTCCGCCTCCCAACATCTTCACCCCGCCTCACCGACCTCATCACCAAGTTCCGCGACGCCAAGCTCGCAGCTCTCCTCGAAGACCCTACCTCCTGGGCCTACCCATACGCTTCCGAAGCGAACCACTCTGCCTCACTTTGGGAGGCCCGTCTCGCACGCCAAACAGTTTTGATATGTGTCGCTGCCACCAATCCTTCCCGATCGACCGAAGACGCGCTCATACAAGAGGGATGGGTGGGGTTCGCAGCGGTGCGCGGTCGGATTGTATGTGAGGCGTACTATACTGCGCCAGAGATGCAGCCCATCCCTGAGAGCCCTGAGGCTGAGACACGCTGGCACGTCTCCGACCTCTACTTCAACCTAGCTCACCGCGGTCACAGTATCGCGCGGAAACTTGGCGCCGCGTGCATGGTCACTATTGGAGAGTTGGCTACCGCCGAGGGAAATCACAAAGCGAGGATAAGCCTGCTAGTTAGTTAGAGGAGCGCCCGCTTGATGGAGATGTATGAGAGACTAGGCTTTAGGGAGAGTGCGAAGGTGAGCATGCGGGAGGGGCTGGAGGCGAATGGGATGATAGAGAATATACCGAACGATACGACGAGTACGGAGGAGCTGGGTAGGGCGTTCCATTCGAAAGTTGGGATTGCTATGGAGAGGGTTGTTGAGTTTCCATGAATCATTGGACAATTAAGATGCATGCAGGTAGAGGCGAACCAACATGTACTTCCGACGAGCTTGGCGGAACGCATAACCCTCACTACACGTATCCTCGCACATATCTAGCTATCGTTCAGTTTCGAGCGGTCATCATGACATCCTTTCGCTTGTTCTTTCCTGCGCAGCAATTTGGGAGTTACACCCGTCAAGATTACACTTCTTATCTATTTATACAACATTGCGATCTGCAAAGGGAAGTTTCAACGGAAGGATCCCCGTGCCTCTGCCTTGCTCAAATTTTGTTAATTCTCAAAAAAGAGATACGAAAATATCCAATTTTTTCGTTACGCGCCTCCAAAACAACAAAACCCCTAGACCATGTCTGAGGCTGCTTTCGTCTCTTGGGATGAACATGAAACCTTAAGACCAGCTGCATCATCCTCGTGTTTGCGATATGGATTCTCGTCCATAGGCGGTTCTTTCCAAAAGGCTTGTATCGCGGCTTTCTTCGGCTCTCGACAGCTCAGTCTTCACTCGTCTACCTCTTAATTACGTACCGACAAAGTCCTCAGTCCTTGAAGATATTCAAGGCATTCAAGACTCATCAATTCCAACAAATGTATCGTTGCTGGCCAGTGTAATCTCTTCAAGCCTTGACTGCAGTATCAGTCCTATTGACATTGTTTTGACCCATTCTCAGACCCTAAAAAAGACCGAAGTGTCAGCCAAGATACTCTATGGCCTTCTAGCATGTTCGCTGCCTCGGGTATGGTGCCCGAGTTCCTAGCATATATAGAGCTCTCGTTCCCATAGTCAATACATCACGCATTTCCCCATGTTCGACACCTAGCCCTATTGACACGAAGGCTTTTCATGACGCAAGAGCGTTGATAAGGAATATAAAACAGGCAAAATGAGACGTCTTCAGCTTTGGGACGCCTGATGGTCTTTTGGGCCTTGACTATCCCATGCAACTCCTCATGAAAATGGTCCATCAACACTTCATGATCCTGCATTATCTTTTGCCTCTGGGCTGGATAGGTCTCAACGCACCTCTCACTAGATCCCTTGTTAAACGCCATATAAATTTTGTTTTCTCTCCACATAAGTCACAAATGAAATTTACTTGCCCTAATAGGAGTAGCATTTGGGCTATGTGCCGTGCTATTTCGTCTGCCCTCTGCCCACGGAGGTTCGAAAGAATTTGCAAAAGCTCGTATGCCTCGATGTGTTTCTGGGGTCATGGAAAGTTACATGGATCTGTAATATATCTGATGGATTCGCAGCATGGTTTCTGAACCAGCCTGCTCTAACTTAAAATACAA